ATAGTAATGGTAGAAGAAATTCTCCAAACCCTTGTTGTATCCGACAATATTGATGATGTGTATCGTTTGTTCGAAGCCTATGATGTATCCCACAAGAAAGGGCTTTACTCTTATGGGAAAGGCCTCGCCCAAATAGACGGATGAGCTGCACACGAAGAGTCCTGCGAATGCCTGAAAAGCCACTCCCAGTCTCCAAACCTGGTACATGTAGTAGGTTAGGAGCACATTTGCCGGATTTGCATAGGAGACAGCCATGCAGAGCATCAGTATAGCCATGCAGAGTAGACCCACGAGTGAGAGGACCTTGCGACCTAACTTGTCCAAGAACCCTTGGGCCACAAGGACTCCTAGCAAACGCACCAGTCCCCAAACAGTCACTGGCCAACAGGAAATAGATCGTTCGGTCAGGAGAGCACTCTTGATTAGGGATTCGGAGAGGGGCAGGGAAAACGAGAAGGCGACGAATCCGCGGTAAAGCAGCAGTTTTACAAAGGGCACCACCGAGCTCCAAAGTTCCTGGCAAAACGTCCTCTTCTGGCTCTCCGCTACGTATAGCTGAACCTCCTCGAATTCCTGGTCCACTGAGTGGTTGAAGCTTCCCAACAGTTTCTCGTGGCATTTGCGAGCCTTCTCCTTCTGTTTGAGGCGCAAATAGTAAATGGGCGATTCAATAGAGAGCGCTGTCATTCCGAGACCAATTATAGAGAACACAACTCCTATTATGCCGTGAACCTCGTTAACGGATGCTTCCTTGTCATCCACCCATTGAGTGTCATAGATAACCTGAAAGATTATTGGCACATTTTAAACGTTTCTTTATAAGAAGTCCAAAGATTTAGTAACCAACCTGGATGGCGATGCCCATGGCCAGACCACACTGCTCCATTGATCCGCTAACCCCGCGATGGTTGTCAGTCGCCACTTCGGCACTATGGATAAGAAACGGAACGGTGATTAATCCGATTCCTGCTCCAGCCACGTAGCGAGCGGCCAGAAGGCATCCGTAGTCAAATGGTGTACACGTGAATATAATAGATCCAGTCAATTGCATTAGACCTCCAAGAACCTGCATAATATTCTTATTGCATGTATCTACATTTTAATCGCGTAACTCACATAAAAAGGCAACTTTGGCATGAAGGTCATGGTCAAGGAGGCCAAGGCTGCTCCAGCCAGAACTCCAATGAACCAACTGCATTTAAAAACTTGCGAGGCCGTGGTGTTTAAGGTCTGATTCCAACCCACACTGTGAGCAAAGTCCATGCCGCCATAGACATAAAGAAAAAACACTGACAAGGGAAGGTTAATAAAAGAAGGAACATCCTTTAAATGCACAAGCTTCATTTGCAATACCCACCTGCATAGGCCACGTTAAGTTGCTTGTTGGCTTGCCGTACGGATCCTGGATTGCTGGTGGGTAAAATCATCTGAATCGGCGGGTCCGCAGAAGGTGAATTTGGTTTGTATCCTTCTGCGTAGTCCTTGGTGGTAGAAGGATCCGGACCAGTCGTAACGTATGCGATAGTCATGTTTCTTTCTTTCATGTAACTTTTCGGGATGATGCCTTTTGTTCGATCCGCTCACCGTGATGGACAAGTGCGAACTATATGAGGTTTAAAAACCAATTGAAGTGCCGTTCACATTTTCTGAGGGATTAGGGCAATATTTTATAAGCTTTTAAATATAGTCTAAGGCCACTATAACGTTGTTCCGACAGTAAAAGTAAAACCCAATGAGGCCCGATAAAAATGTTGACTTTTCATTTGACGAACTTCTGAAAAGTCTAGCCAGAAACAGTTTCGTGGCATAAATAATACAATATTAATAGTATTTCTCCATTGAATTATTCGTTCTCCTAAATAGCAGGACATTTGTATACATTTGCAGAGAAAGCTTCTCGGTTTTTGTATGTTTACAAAACTGCGTAAACTAAACGATGATTTTTGTCTGTGAATTTTGTATTTGTTATTCCAATTAAAAGCTAATGCTATAATGATTATCACATATCATTATATTATTATGAAACTAATTGTATTAACCTAAATTAGTTAGTAAGCAAATGAAAATGCAAACAATTATAATGAGTCTGGAGTCCTAGACCTAGTACATCTGTATGTCGTACCACTTCTGAAAACGATGGCCAGCCTTCCTCAGCGTCATCTTCTTTGTCTCCGGCATAGATACGGTTAAGAAGATCATGCCTACCAGCATGATAATTCCTACGGCCAAAAAATACTGGAAGAAGAAATTTTTGATGGTCGCTGAGCTCACGCAGGCAATGACGACGATATGGACGATCTGCTCAATGATGACAATCACTCCGACTAGGAACGATTTTACCCGCATGGGGAAGGCCTCGCCCATATATGCTGATGAGCTGCACACGAAGAGTCCTGCGAATGCCTGGAAGGCCATTCCGATATTGCAGGCTGATGTCATTAAGTTAAAGCTAATTAAGTTGATCACGTTGGCATATAGACCCGCTAATCCGAGCATTAGTCCGGCCATAACGAGGAGGCCCACCAAGGATATCACCTTGCGACCCAAAGTGTCCAGGAATAAAAAAGCCACCATGACTCCAATCCCGCGGAGAGCACCAAATACGTAGATTGGCCAAAGACTGCCGCCTTTATCCGCCACTGCGGTGCTCGAGATGATCGACATGGTCAGCGGCAGAGAGAAGGAGAATGCAACGAAGCAGCGAAAGAATAGCATTTTCAGGAAGGGCATCACCGAGGCCACCAGCTCCTCGCCCAGGGTCCGGTTGTCGCTCTCCGCCACGTACCTTCTGGCCTCTTCAAGAGTTGCACTAACGGCATCGGGATTATGACTCAAAAGTTTCTGCTGGCTCTGCCGCGCCCTGTTCTCCATATTTCGACGTAGATAGAAGATTGGCGACTCTATCACCAGGGCAGTCATCGCCAAACCACACAGGGAGAATATGATCCCTAAGATGCCGTGGATCACGTTTGGGTTTGAGTTAATCATTGAAGTCCACTCGGTAGTAAATATCACTTGGAAGAAAATTCCCAGGGCTAGTGCGCACTGCTCCTTTGCGCCGTGGATTCCTCGAAGGTTGCAAGCCGCCACCTCAGCGTTGTGAATGAGAAAGGGCACGGTAATGAAGCCAATTCCTAACCCGGCCAAATAGCGGGCGGCCAGGCAGGCCGAATAGTCTGCAGGTGCAGCTGTGAATATGATGGAGCCAGTTAGTTGCATCAGACCTCCAAAAACCTGAAAAATGTTTAGGGAAAAGCATATACTTTACATACTGATAATGGCGCGTCTTCAACTTACATAGTAGACCAGCTTGGGCAGAAAATTCATGGAGACAGTGGCGGCCACTGCTCCAATGATGACACCTACAAACCAGCAGTACGAGTACTCCGTAAACAGGAGGACGCTGTATGGTTGACTCCAGCCCAAGCTAGCGGCCATGTCCATGCCACCATAAATGAGGAAGAAGAAAGCTGGAAGGAGAGTGTCGATAAAGACATTTACTTTTCGACTATGTAGTCTCATTTTCTCACCTGTATAGGAGGCAAAATTCTGTTTGTTGATGCGCGTAAAGTATCTTCTGTTATTAGTGGTTACAGCCGGTTTTCTGGGCTCAGCCGGTGGTGCGGTGGCAATGATGATGGTTTCCCGTGGGGGTACGGGTACTGAACCCGTAGTTGTGGTTTGCATACCACTCATTCTTACAAAGTCGATATTTTTCGTTCGGTAGCTCGTTCATTACTGGGGACCACTAGAAGCCCACAATCGTGCTTAAATCGGACAAAAGGTGGTCCGAACTTGGCGATACTGATATCTAGCTGATAAGTAAATGACATTATAATCAGTTTTGTAGATACTGGTGTCTTCATCGATTTTACTCGATTCTATTCAATTTAATTGGTCGTTTGACCTTGAATATGATTCATGATCGGTGAAATGGGGACTTTTCAGGTAGCCAGCTCGGTGGGGTTAACTAAAAATAGTTTTTCTGTATCATTGGACTTTATTGGTTTTTAAGTCTTTAACAATAAAAAGGGAATCCTGATAGGAGGTTGACTGATAAAATATGTGCTTCTTTTATTTCCCACGTGTGGATCACCTATATACAAAAATTTAAATTCCACAAAAAGAGCTTTGGGATTTACTTTGATTTTGTATGCCCTTAAAGCACTGATCTTTCCTTGGAAACAACGGCTGGCCCAGACTTTTTTCCAGCTATCCAAGACCTGGATGGATGCAGCCATGTGTTGCATGATGACTCTCCAGCGCATGTTTATGGTTTTCATTATGTTTGGCATTATAATTCCAGAGGACAAGACAGCGACCAACTCATCAGGCTTAAAATAATAATCGTAATCATAATCATCCCGGCGGCGGCCGCACTTGAGTGTTTGCTTGAGTTGTCTCAAATTGCGTAATGTCTGCACTGACATTGCCATTTCCATCCACACCCAACGTCAGTCCGTCCAGCCCAGCATCTTTGCGAGTCAATCTATCTTGTTGCGCCTCAAACTGTCAAATTGCGCCACATGTCCATGGATTCGAGTGGTGGGGCATCGGGGAGACAGACTGTTGCCTTTTTCTTGTCATTTGACGCTGCTCGACAAATTAGCCAAACGCCTCGGCAAGGCAACCCATCTCCAGATCCAGGCACATCAGCAGTGCCATCTCCATTTCGTTTCGAGGGATTCAAGTACATTTTAATGAGTTTATGCACAAAGTTGTCTAATGGCGTAAAAATTATGAGCGCCAACATGTGGCTACGGATATATGAGTGTGGGTAGCGGTGGGGGTATGGCTATGGGTTGGGGCTATGGCTGTAGATGGAGATAGATCTGGAGTGGTGCATGGCTCCTAAGCACTTTGCATAAATTTCTGAACTGCTGCTTGCTTTCGGGTGGAACGCGACGACGTCTGCCAGCCCACTAATGGAGTCTAATTACTCTAGCCGACAGCCTGACGCGAATCTCTTGGCTAATAAAAACGTATTAAGACAGCGCACAGACATTCGCCAACTGTTGTTTATTCACCGGCTTCCTCTCAGCTTCTACAAATCGTCATGTGACCATCAAGTGAGTGCTGCTCCTCGGCTCTGCGATCCCACTTGTGCTTTTTCCGTCTGCCTCTGGGCCAACTGGCTCTTACAGGCCATCTCCAGGCACCTCTGGCTGAACTTCACCACCAGCATTAGGTATACGCACTTCAGCGAGAGCAACAGCACTCGTTTCCAGTTGAGGTAGGTGCGTGTCCAGGACGAAGATGTTGGCATGTTGCTGATCTTGGGGAGGTTTGCCAGGGGAGACCTCAAACGAATTTTACAATTTAAACAGTATAGAGGATCGACAAATTGACACATAACTCAGATGTTTAACAAAAAATATGTACTTAAATATTAAATAATACAAACGCATTAAAATGTTAAAATGTTTCCGCCCGGGATTGAACCGGGGGCCTTCCGCGTGTTAGGCGGATGTGATAACCACTACACCACGGAAACACGTGATGGGGTTGATTCACAACTTTTCGGTTTTAAGCATAATTTAAGTTATTTTAAATAAGATTCGGATAACGTACATATTGTACAATCAAGCCTTTGAAACTATTAAAAGACTTAGTCCTCAGTGTTTACCGTATGAAAACAAAGTAATTTAATCTTTAAATTACATTTTAATGACTTACTTTGTTTAATTTATTTTATTTGAACTGGATAATTACCAATTGTGTGATGTCTTGATTCAAAACTTGATGTAATATTTACTTTTTTGATTTCTGCATTTCTAAAATTAGTTATTTGTGCAAAAATAAATATTGCCGAAACCCGGGATTGAACCGGGGACCTTTAGATCTTCAGTCTAACGCTCTCCCAACTGAGCTATTTCGGCAATAGATAAATGCCATTTTCAAAAAATCAATAAAATTAGTGTTCAATAAAAATTAAAAAAAAGAATGGAGAAAGTCTTAATGATGTTTCCGCCCGGGATTGAACCGGGGGCCTTCCGCGTGTTAGGCGGATGTGATAACCACTACACCACGGAAACTTATGCTTGGGTTGTTTGAAAACTTTCGAGTTTTAATTTTGATGAATTACATATTATTTTAAGAACAAGCATGGCCAACCTACCTTAAAATGACTTGAAACCCGAGCAGAACAAACTAAATTGTAATTATATAATATATTTAGTAAGTAACAACATACAAATATACAAAAATCTAGTTGCATACAATTTTTAATTTCAATTGTTCACGAGAAAAAAATATTATTGTAAAATAATATTTTGCCGAAACCCGGGATTGAACCGGGGACCTTTAGATCTTCAGTCTAACGCTCTCCCAACTGAGCTATTTCGGCCACCGAATTTTTTGCGTGAATTTCTGTGTTGTGAATTTCGCGGACTTTGCCAATATATTTAAGCGTTCCTTCTTTAATAGTACCTTTTCAGGAAAATTATTTTTAAAGCGCATTTATGAAGACATACAAATAAATCTAAATTCATTTTACTTTTGCATTTTTAGCCTGTCACAAGCGCTGACAGTTGCAAAAATGTGTGTTGACACTTGCATGTCCCAAAGTCCACATCAATTTTACAAAAACTTATGGCAGCTGCCGGGTTTGAGCAGCGGAAATTTCTCTTTATGATGAGCTGAATACAAGAGTGTAATAATTATCTCAATATCTTTTTGAATTTCAATTTTTATGACGTTCTGGTACATGGGAATCCAAACAAGTGTAATAATACATTTTAGTACCGCGACGATGGCAACGAGGCGTATGCGATGGCAAGGCTACATTATTATGCGATCATTATTCTGGCAAACTTTCAGGAATAATATTGTGATTGGAAATAAAAACTAAGGCAAAAAACTGGCAAGGCCAGTGGGTTCAATCTATATCTTTGGGTTCAATGTATATAATAAATTGGTTCTTAACAATACAAAATTAGGTTTGAAACCTATTTTATTATATTTTCTGAAATAATCAAGCTGAGGAATGTACAGGCTCCGCCGTAACATTTCTTTTATTTTACAATCAAATTTGAAAGCCACTTCCCAGCGTACTCGTGTCGGTGAAAGCATACAACCTGATCCTCTGTATAGTATGTGTACATACATATGTATATTTTAAACATACATATGTATACGGAGGAGCACCTTTCAGCTGGAGCTTTCGGGAGTGTGCAACCAATGCGGCTTCCGTTTGACGCCCGGCGCTGAAAGCTGAGCCCCAGTTGGAGTCCACTGAGTCAGCCGTCGTCTTCATCATCGTTCGCTGCTGCTATCCTGGCGTTTTTTTTAATGATTCACATTTTTGAAAGCAGATTCTTTGAAAGAGAATCCACGCCTTCGCCCCGCCCTGAAATTGTTTATGATTTATCGTCTGTCCACAAGCCTCATATTTTGTATGTTTTTGACCACTGTCCATTTGGTCCAAGGTGAGCCGGTTTTTTTTCTTTACCCCGCATTATTATTATTATTTTAATTATTCGTTGTTTTGTGTGCCATCACTTTAGAATCGCCGGCTGGCCTGGAGGCCTTTCAGTTGAAAAACTATTTGCGAATCGCGGGCAGCGGCGACGACAACAAAACACATTCTTTTGATATGTCAAGAAAATGTTTAACATTTTCGCTAGAATTTCTATTTTTGGTGCTATTCATTTGGGACCAGACCTTGACGGCAATTAGAACTGGGAAGATTAGAGCAATTGTGAAGGGATAGCGAAATTTTTATTGTTTGCTTGTTTAATTTGCTGAAGATTTTGGGCAGGTACATGTGTAGGTCTTTCAACTGATACCTAGATTTTGTGATAAGAAAGCCAGGGGGTAAAAATCGATTTTTAAGCACATCGCGGAAAAACGCTACCCTCAAAAGGTATCTCTTATATGCAAATGTCAGGCAACAATTTCTTGTGCAAAACTCCAAATAGCCATGCATTTGGACGAGTGAAGTTACGGCCGTGAGCTGACTTTTTACTGGCAGTGTGTGTGTTGCAGTGGAAAATGGCTAAGTGGGTCACAATTAGATTTGATTTGTTTATACCACAACGACAGGACTTGTTTCAGCCCCGTTTTAATAGAGCAATTGTAGGATATTTTCAACCCACCAATAATGCTAGTAGTAACAGAGTTTGTTGCATCGCTTTTAACCTTTGCCAGCAATTTGGAATTGCATTTGTTGAGTGGCTTGGGCCTTCTAACCATAACTTGTAATCGAGTTAGTTGCGTAAATTCTTGTTTTTATGATTTTTTTCTGCCAGCAGCAGCTGCAAAATAATTTGCTAAAATGTGTGTAAAACAAATTGCAAGAGATTCCATTACAAAATAACTGCGGACATGTGCTTGAGTGAAAAACTAATTTGGCTGCTACTTTATTAAAAAGGAATAAATATTCATTTTGTAATGCCATAAAGCCAATTGAAACCTTTAAAACGGAGCCCCTCCCAGTTCGTTGCCCTCTTGGGAATGAACCATTAATCGGACTAAACGTGAATCTCGACACTTGGCTGGTGTCACTCTCCCTGTTATAATTCTGACAAAATGACAAACAGACATGCAAACATACAACAACTAAACCAAAAAGATTTATTTGCAGTCATTTCAGAAACAATTTGTTGCCATTGAAATTTATTGTTGAGCCGGCGGAACACGATTTAAATATGTTCCGCTACAAGCACTCACTCACGACATTTGGTTTTTATTTCCATTAACAAATCCGTCCTAACCCACTCCGATCCGTTGGGATCTTTCGCATATATATACATATGTATATATATATATATATGTATATATATATATATATGTATATATATATATATGCGCATATATATTTTGTTTATTTTTTTGGCTTCCTCGTCTAACACTTGTCGTCTGACTGACCGAATTCGGAACGTGCCTCAAAGTCATTCACATTGTATTTTCTTTGCACATTATCTTGCTTTTTCAGAGTTTTATTTTCATACGAGACAATGTTATTTTAACAGATTAAAGCGTGCGCATAATTTCAAAATGTTTCGTCCAAAGTGCTGAATGATATTTTAACTTTGTCAAATAGATTCGAAGAGCACTTTAACCTTCCTGAATAATAAACTCATCCGCTTTAGCTTGATGATTTTCCTTAATGCATCCTTCATAATCACCTGCTTAAGTGTCAGGCCAAAGCGGACTTAAATATTTCAAGTCCATTACAAAACTGTCACAACATGTTTGGGTTTTGCGGAGTTGAGTAAGCCAAAAACGCAAATTGGCTTACCGCAGGTCGACCCTGTCACGCCCCCTTCCAGTGACACTTGCCACACGTTCTTGCCCCTACTTTGGATGTACAAAATAATGTAGGCGTTTCGGTTTAGGTTCTGGGGTCCCCATTAAATATGCATAAATCGAACCGGAAAAGCCGCAAGTAACGAAGACGCTGCTGCTGTTGCAATCGGTGGCGAGTGGGAGTTGCTCCATGCTGCACGCTCCATGCTCCATGCATTCGCGACAGCCGAGCCTGAGTTAGCTTTTAAATAGTTAGTTAAGCGTTAAATTGACTCGGCAAAAGGCATCAACTGGTCACATGTCAGACCCAATCCCTAGCCGCCTGGCTGCCTTGTTAATTGCATAATTAAGCGCAAAGTTGGACTTGGCAGGGGTTCAGCCTACGCAGCCGCTGCTCCACATATGCAGGCCCGGGTCTGCGGACTCTAGACTCTAGAATCCAAACTCCCGACTTCCCCACTCGCCAACTTTGGCCCACTTGAGTCTCGCTGACATGCCGGCTAATGAGTCGCCGCTCCAATCCGCAGTCATTGCCAGGAACTGGGCTGATAACGAGGAATTTATAATTTGTTTGCCTGGCCTGGCCGTCAGATTAGTCAACATCACTATCTTTTTGCATATTCATAAGACGCAGGAGTCTGCAGCTACTGTAGCTCCACACTCTTAAATGCCCATCGACTCTAAGATATGTGTAATTGAAAGCTTCCTTGTCCCATCTGGAGATTTATCTGATGGCTTTCCCTTTTCTGACAGCCTTGGGTTTCCCGCCCGACTTCTTTTCACGTCGACTGTGTAATCATTTTGTACGCTGGATAAGAGAGTTTGCCTTATTTGATATGCAATTGGATTGTCACGTCTTAGAGAGGTTTCGAAATTAATTAAATTCGTTGGAGTGGACTTGCCGTGCCAAGACAATTTGGAAAATCTGGCTTAGAATAATATGAAGATTCGTGTGCACTTACAAACATAATCACTTTTTTTAGCTGTTCATCTAGCTATTTTTAAGCAGGGCTTACTTTTCAGTTTTTTTTTAATATATACAGATATTTTTCCCAAATCAACTTGCGCCTACAAATGTTGGCAATAAAATTTTATGATCACCTAG